GGCCCACCCGAAAACGCCCCTTGGCGGCGTCCGGCTATTCGCTAAAGTGTCATTCGGTGAAACGTGGGCGTTCACTAAAACGTCATTCAATCAAGTGAGTGCCTCCCTGCTGAAATATAGAAAGTACACAGTATGACAGATGTAGCGCGAAGACATGGGCGTTTTGTTTTAGAATTGTATTCAAGGTTAGTGTTGTACACTGCACTTTACTGCCCAATGTCGACTTCTGCTTAAATTTTAGTTGCAAGAACAACCAACGACGGGCAGCCTTTCAGTTGTAAAATGAAACGTTTGCGAACACTCCCTTCGTGCTAAATGTGTCACGCTTTGTTTAAGCACGGGATTAACAGAAAAGGGAGGGTAATACGAGGCACCCTGGGTAGTTTTTTCAAGGAGCCATTCTGTTTTTTGTGGTGACGATTGGCATGGTTTGGGTTTTGACTCCGCCATCGGCGTTGGTTGTCATTTCTCGCAACAACGCCCAGCACGTGTCAAGATACTTTAGGAACACGACCTGGATGGACAGCAGCAATGTTACATTCTCTACGTCGCCTAGTGAGTGCCAGCACGAGGCACACGCTGAACACGAGTCGCTACGTCAACGTTTAGCTGGAAGGAACTTGCGTTCAATCAGAGCACGAACCTCAGACAAACGGCGACAAAGCACTCGTGGCGTGCCCACATACTATATGGGGTCCATATCACATGAGCGAATGACGTTTTAGCGAACAGCGACATTTGAGCGAATCGCCGTTTTAGCGAATAACGGGGCCGCGCGTTAACCCATCTGCCGCGCTGCGCTTTACGCCGCTTCACGGCGACAGTCAGCGGCGGCTCATTACAAAAATGCGAACCCACTTGGCCCACCCGAAAGCACCGCTTCGCGGCGTCCGACTATTTGGTAAAGTGTCGTTCGGTGAAACGCGGGCGTTCGCTAAAACGTCATTTGATCAAGTGAGTGCTTCCTCATACTATGTATTCCGCGCTGGCCCTCGCATGGTAACAGAAAATTCAGCACTACGGATACGGTGTACCAGTACTCTCTGCTTTCTCTCAGGTGGCTTTAGCTTTAGTCGCCTGTCCTTCTTAATGTCCCCCTCGTTTTTTATCCTTTCATCGCCATCTTCGTAGTTTCCTTAGTTTCCTTGTTCCGTACGCTCCTCTTCCTCCTGATCCAGCACCGGCCGGACGGACGATGTACGTGTGCGAGTCCGCAGATTGCGTGCGAGAGGGGGCCTACCTGAGGGACCTGTTGGAGGGCGACCCCTGCCTCAACTTCTACGACTACGTCTGCGAACGCCTGGACGACCAGCGGCAGCCGCCTCCGGGCATGGCCACTTCGACGGACACACGCCTCGCCAACGCCCTCGAGGACGCCCTCCTGGTCTACCTGCGCGACCCGCAGCACGTGGACGTCGCCGTGGGCCGCGACCTGATGGCGCTCTGCAGCGGGTCCTCGACGTCCCAGCTGGCCTCGTTTCTCACGGGGTACGTGTCTCCCGAGTGGCCGCTGCCCAGGGGACAAGTCCCGGCGGCCGACGACGTCTGGAGAGCTGCGGGACGTCTGCTTCGCGACCTGAACGTGGCAGTCCTGGTCTCGGTGGCGCCGCAGCCGGGGGTCGTGGCCCACCTAGGTGCACCCGACCTGCTCTTCCGGCAGGGGGACCCCGACGCGATGCTCGACGACTTGCAGGTAAACCGCGCGACGTATTCTTTTAATGATTAATATTATTAAGCTATGCGCATTTTAAAACGCTCATTTTCCGCCCGCATGTAGCGGTAGCGTTTTAGACGACGTAATAAGGCTTCGGAATCTACCTTTACCTTACTTAAAAAAAAAGATCGACATTTTTTGTTGAAAAAATGGCGGCCAACAGAGCCCGGGAATACGTAAAGATGAAGAGATGGGCTATAAGCCTATAACGGGCAATCGCGGGAAGAGTATTTGGAAAAAAGCTCGTGGAAAGCTCGTTGAAAAGAGCGGGAAGCGTTTTCGCACAAGGCCCGAGTAAGCTCCTTGGGCAATGCTGGCGCCCCGATTGGTCCCTTTGTACATGGGTAACACAAAAATCGTGATTTTTGGTTTAATCAAATAAATTATATTTATTCGATTTAAATCAGACCAATTTGGTATACATCAGATCAATTTGATTTAGATCACTGCAGGTATAAAACAGCGCTTCTTAATCACTAAAGTGAATCCCAAAACAATATAGGAAAAAAAAAAAAAAAAAGAAACGGCCAAATACTTTTAGTCAGTGAAAAAGCTTGATTTGTGTCCTTTTTTTTCCCCTGTTCTGATCTTCTTTTAATAACACATTACTTTTCTAGTGTTAGTTCCTTTTGCGTTCTCATTTACTTGCCGTAGAACGTTACTTGACTTACAAACAAAATGGATATAAAAAAATTAAAAAAAAACTCGATGTTCAAATTTTTTTTTTAGAAGATGCTCGTGTTTAGCCTGATAGAAATCGTTCTTACTCGATGATTTTTCGATTTAAATTCAAAACAAATTCTCCATAGATAGCATTAAATGACAGACAAACGTTAAGTAAAAATATATTTTGGGATTATTTTTGCGCAAAAGGTTCAATTTAACTCATCATAGTAAAGCCGGTTTTATGTAAATCACGATTTAAATCATGATTTAATTCATCGCGACTTATTCTCCACCCTGGTTTGTACAAGCCTTTGTGGAGACTTGCCGTTGATCAGTTTGTCACTGTATGAACGTACTGGGAGATCTAAAGTTTTGTTTTGCTCAGGAATGTCAGCTTCAAGGCTAAATGGGTGACCGGCCTGTACCAGGCTGTTTTGTCTTTCTATAGTCTTGAGAAGAGAACATCCATATGTTTCCCTACGCGCGTGGAAGGATGAGAGCAGCGGTAAACTTTCTAGGACTTGGAGTAGCGCGGAAGTTTAATTTATATATTTTTTACGATGTACATTAAGGCCATATATGCATCCTCCGCATATAGCTCGTATAAATAGGTCTGGCGGTCTTTCAGGCGCCTCTAAAAGTCATCTTTAAAGAGCCACTGGCAGGACCAACAAGCCACTGGCAGGACCAACACTAATACATTGGCAGTATATGGAACTATATAGATCCGTGTTTCTAAAAATAAAATAAAAGAAATTTATAAAAAAACGGCCGCCAGATAGCTTTCACGAAGAGCATGCTTTTCGTGGAAGACTCTTCAGAAAATTAGGCGCTGGATAAAATTAGCCATTTAGGTTAACTCCTTTATTTTGAAACATTTTTTTCGTTCACGTTCTGCCAATTGAAAAACATGGCAAAAAGCCTGAAGCACGTACCTGATCTCGCCAAACCGTCGTCTCCTTCCCCACAATGAAGTCCGTCCGCTATGGTCGCCATCACCATGGCAATGAGGCGTCTGCTGAATGGACACACACGCGAACGCAGTCTAACGCAAACAATGTCTGTCGCCATTTTTCTTTCGACTGTGTCACCCACGTGGTGTTACCTAAAGCCCCTTCATGTTTCAAAAGTAGCGCAAATTGCGTCGATGCTCGAGGCACGTGCTACGTGCAGCCCTTGGGAAGATCATGGCGGCACAGCGCAGCACTGAGCTTGATTTCAGACGCCATGGTCTTCCCAGAGGTGGCGCGCGGCACGCCATCTCGAGTATTTCCACAACAATGAATGGCGCCACTTTTCTCAGGATAAAGGGGCTTCAGTGTTACCTGGTTCGCCTAGTGCCTCGAGCCAGACAACAAGAAAGGAGGAAGGAATAGACCGGAACAAACTAGGTACATACCCAGACGACACACATTTGTCCAAAGGATGCCCAAAGGACGTCACCTTCAGGATGAGAAGGGTGTCCCTGGGAGCTCCCGCAAATTTCCCAAAAGCATCCCAAATGAGACTCTAATGAATGGGACTAGAAGCTCCCATAGACATCCTGCCGACATCCCGCAGGTCCTTTTTGGGATGGCAGTTGGACTCACTAGGGACACCAAATCCTGCCTGGGATCTAGAGGGGACATTGCATTTTTTTAGCTTGCTATACCGGGTATTCATAGGAAGTATTTTCCTCGCCACAAAAATAAACTATGCATCGCAGGACGCTCGGTTTTCGAGTAAATGTAGCACTACCGGTTGGAACCAGACGCCAAAGATTAAAGGCTTACTGTTATCTGGTTCGATATATATATATGCAAATCTTTTAAATATTGAAAAAAACAATTATGGCTTTCTTCAGTAGGAGGTGCTATTCATCTGTAAATTAAAAGGTCCTGTTAACTGCAAATTCCTCGTTGAAAGCTTCGAAACATTGTCTAAAATTTTTGGATCAAGTAACGGTAGGCACTGATATTGACATCCGGTCCCAGTCACTAGTACTACATTTGGGCAAGCTGAATGGAATAAGCTTATTTCTGTGGCGAGAAAAACAGTTCTCACTTCTCATGAACATCCAGTACTTTCATAAGTTGAGCATAATGAATGCGTGCTTTAGGCACCTTCCATCACGGCAATTGATGCAACCCATGCGGAGAACAAGTTGTCTGCTTCTTGCGCAGGAGTTGCAGTGACATCAGAAAGACGCCGAGCTCCAATTGGCTCCGATGGAAGGATCGTGGGTAGACCTCAAAGCAAGCCGCCTTGAGGTCTACCCCCTATTCTTCATTCAGAACCAATCGGAGCTCGGCGTTCTGGCTTCACCACAAATCCTGCAAAAGAAGCCAACGAACTTGTGCTCTGCAAATAGTTCGCAGTGGTCATGAAAGCTGTCTGAAGTGCACTTACTCAATTTCACCCACTAATGTTCCAAAAAATGTTTTAAAACGAAGTATCTATCAAATTTGAGATGCAAACTTCTCAAGCAGTCATGCCAATCAAAGATGTTGGTATGCAAAGGTAAGGCAGCTTTTAAATTTTATTGTAAGAACACTAACACTGGATCATAAAATCGTGTTACAAACATACTTTAGCTTTTACAAGAAAATAGTCTGCTTTCACAAGAAAAAGAGACTAGATGTAAGTGGTTTCATGATGGTTTATCCAAGAAGCCTTAAGCAACTGTTGATAAAAATAAAATAGTCTGATAACAAAGATATAAATGACTCGTTAGTGACTTAACAAAGCTTATAGAAAAAGGTTGAAGCAACTGTTCATAAAAATAAAACCACCTCTTTAGAGAACTAAAAAAAAATTCCAGACTGCAACTGTTCATAAAAATAAAGTAGTCTGTTTTACAAAACAAATAAATTATTGACTAGTTGGAACCTGAACGAGGCTTAAGGAACTGTTCATTAAAATAACAGCACATCTTCACTTGGAAAGAAAACAATTCCAGATTTCAGTCATCCTCATCTTCCTCTGGGTGTGCCATCTGTGCAGCTCCCCTACAAAGCAAGTAGAACACATCTATGAGCATACATATTCACTAAGTTGTGCTAGCTCTTCCACGTGGAAACAATCATGGCTTCAGAAACCCTGCACCACGAGACGAGTTTAAAATTATGCTGAACCCAAACTTGAGCTGTGAGTATATGTAGTAGCAAAGTGCTTGTGTGTTCCCTAAATTATGCTATTTGAATAAAAAAAGTGCAGAAAGAATAAAATTGTGAACACAAGATTTGCATTGTGAGCATTTATAAAAACTATCTTCATGATGTCACAGCTTTCCTAACCTCCACTACTCTGCAGCCAAGGCACAAGGAGTTCTGCTAAGCCAGGGGGAGGAGTGAAGGTTAATTCGAGTGCAATACGTTAATGTCAGGAAGCAGGAGGGATTCAGTCTTCCACTATGCAGTAGAAGCACCAGTCGTTGACTGGTGCTTCTACTGCATAGTTAAGGGAAATCTCAATTTGGGTTCAGCATCCCTTTAACGTAGACAGAAGTGACTTGATATCTCAATGTTAAGCATTTTTTTTACACTGCAGATGAATAACAACTGCAGTGTTGACATTTTGGCAAATTTACAATGTTTCGTTCTTTGTAAAATGTTTGCAACTGCTGTATTAAAGTTCTACAGTACTGATATTACTTGCCTATCAGCCTTCACATGCAGCCTAATCGTATGCCTGCTTACCTTTTCTGGCAGTTGTCCAGGCGCTCTTTGGCATGGCGCAGCCATGTCATTGTTGTTTTCTCAATATCTTTAAGAGTGACTTCTGCTTCTTTCTTGTTTTGTTGTTCTGTTAAGCCACCTGTAAGATATATATTTTATATAAGGCAATTTAAGTAAAATAGTAGAAGTGACATTTGTCTAGGAAGCATTGGCTGCTTAAAGGTGCAAGCTACTGCTCAGTACAGCAAGTATATTCAGGTGTCCAAAATGGTGTGCCCTACAAAAATGAAACGAACTGCACGATGCTAGAAAGCATCTTGTGAGAGTTCCAGTAATTTATAATTAAGCAGAAATAATTCCTTACTTAAGAGTAATTAGCTAACTTATTAAGAAACTGGCAAATTGCTAGGAAATTGTGAAGCGGTTATGTGAAATGTTTCGCTGGCTCTTGCTTGGGCTGAATGGCTTAGTGCTGAAGTTAAGGACTCATTTCTTTTTCGCTTTAGTTAGCCTTCTCGCAAGCTTTCCGTGCATCTCCTGCAAGCATTGCAATGTCGGATGGAAGCACACTCGGCTTACGTTGCTGCCATGGGTTCAAGCCCAGGCGGCGACCGTCCCTTTAACTCTGAAACGCCCTGTCCTCCTCTGCACCGGCTACACCACGTCTAGCCGGTTGACCACGTGATTATCCAATCAGCGTCAAGCTTTCCTCATCTCCACCAGCTATACCATGCGACTTGTCCCGACCAATCAGCTTCGAGCTTGCGGTTACACAGTATACCGCATGTTAAGAGTGTAGAACCAGAGAACGTTTCACATTAATACTTATTTGAGAACCGAGGTGTCAGTGTGAAACTTGCAAAGTGCATTAAGAAGCATTGGAATTACATGACTGCAATGTGATACAGTTCACATACTTTATTTTACTGACCTGTAAAATATTACAAAATACCACGGCAATGTGCCCCCTTAATCATGGACTCTTCTAAAATCTTGCGGCATTTCTTTACATATAAACAGAAGCATGCATATGCATCATGGTGCAAATATTTCAAGGTGCTTTAAAACTTTCCAATTGACATTTCAGCTCCTAAGTAAATATTTAAAAAGTTATCTAATTAGCCTCAACTAATTAATTTGGCTTACTTAAAAAAAATATGACAAATTGCTGAGCAACTGTGTTGCGTACGTGAAACGTATGAGACACAATTCTTCAAAGTTCAAAGGTTGCTGCATTATAAAACGCTTCATACTCAAACACTGCAACTCTAGCCAGATGCTTGCTAATAACAGACAGTATGCTTAACTTGCATAGAGCACTCAACTTTTTTTTTTTAATTTAAGCGAATTATTTGTGACATGCGGCATACGATCTTACCATTTATCGCCTGGAAAAACATTCATAGGTTTGACGCAGCACTAAATATGAATATATGACACGACTAGAAAAGGGTGCTTTAGGTTTGCTCAGATGTGACGCTTTCTCTTGTGCATGTTTTCCTTTCCCACATTACATCCCCATAGAGCATTAGTAAAACATGAAGTGCCTTCCAGTGGCATTAAGAGCTATCATGGAAAAGGGCTTATACAGCTCCCACACTTTTGCATTCTCCTCCTTTGGGAATGCAGCATGACCAACAGTGTCATGGGATGGAAACAGCGAGAGGGACTGAGGGCACACACACGACGTTCCTGAAAATACTTCCACTCCTCGCATGCCTTTTGGGATTTTTGAAAATGGTCCATTACATAAAATTGAATAAAGTAAATTCAATTATCTGCCTTATTCAATGCTTCGTAAACCAAATTTATAGTCAGTTTAACTGATATGAAGCTCGGTACCAGGAGCTGTGTGTTAGTGACTTAGCACTCTTGATTTAGAAGGACAGTAAGGTATTAGTACGACATCACCTATACTGTACCTTAAAAACAAAGCTGTACAATTAATATTATTTCTACAAAATATCATGAGCCCTTTGAAGTGCTTACCACACATCAGCTGACAGAACTGCAGGTCACAGAATCTCCTCTTGTCTTTTGTACCATACCAAGTGAAGGCCACTCCTATGTCGTAAGTCAGAAGCTTCTTAAGTATTCGGGAAGTTTTTTCCTTTGCATCGTCCCCGCCAATTATTTTGATGTACCTTTTCTGGAATAGAACATCAGACAGTCGGGCCTGAATAAGAGAGGAATACCAGGGTCTTCAGTGGTGCAAAAATTAACTCAGCATTGCAGGAAGGTGAAACTCTGCCCGAATGTGACGCTAGCTGTGCTGACAAAATGAGAAAGTTTGAGAACATGGCATTACCTAAATCAAAAGATACGGGAAAGAAACACTTCTTGACAAGCGCATGTACACTCGGCCTTTTTTCAAAAAAGATAAGTTATTTTGGCCCCTGTGGAGCTTATTTTGGTGAGAGGGCTTATAAAAAGGAAACAAAAGAAGGGTTTCTTTCGTTGTGGTACGCTTAGTGGGCGTCACTCAAAAAGAAATTTGTTTTTTTTTCTCAATTTCTTTTGATCCAGGTAATATCACATTCTCAAACATTCGAATTCTATCAGCACCGCTAGCGTCACACTGTGGCGGAGTCTCAACTTCCTGCAATGCATAGCTATTTTTTGCGTCGCTGAAGGCCCTAGTTTTTTTCTCCCCAAATTGGGCCCGGTATATGTTTTGTCCTTAAAGGGGTACCCCGGCCATTTTTTGAGCTACTCAAACAAATTGCATTTTCTGACTACCAGGACTTTAGTGTTCACGGTACGCTATTTATTTTTTTGAAGTTGATAAATAGCAATCGACAAAACCGTAAACGAAGATGATGCCGAAACCAACATTCAAATTTCCGCGCGCTCTCCAGTGGTGTGACGTCACAAATGGTACAGAGCTTTAAGTCGCGCAGGTAGTCTTAAACTGAGCATTTCAAGTGTTTTTTGCACGTTCCTTAGTGAATCAGCTACCAAGCATTCTTTTCCCACCATCAAATGTCTTGTAACCAGTTGGGAAAATGGCTTACTGCCCACTTTGTACCATTTCTGTCGTCACACTTCAATGTTGCCAGTAGGGGCCCCCGGTTTGAGAAACACGATGAAAACGAAATTATAAAATTCAATAACTTTGCAAAATCATCTTTTCACACAATACTTGGGGAGCTGGTACAGCCGTGTCTATCGGTGTGTTGAGCCATTTTTGAGGCAAATCAGAGACCACGAAAATAATGCCGGAATACCCCTTTAAAGGAACAGTGACAACCCCCAATTTTGTTTTTGTTTTTTTTTACTTTTTTGCCAGGCGGTTTATTATGGTGTCAGATCAATATTTTGCTAGTGTCACATCTATTTTTAATAAAGTAAAAAAACGCAACTGCTCGAAACCGAAACTGGACTGGGCAGGAAGAAATATAGAGGAGGGGATAGGTGGCAGAAGTCACGTAGCTGTGATACTTTTTTTCTCCCAAACGCATTTGCAGCTTTTTAGAAGCCACAAAAAACGGGTATCATATTTATTTTCTATTTTAAATGTTGTGTGCGTGCCTTCAATGACCTAGGACTTCGATTATATTTTGTGGTTCTGTCTAAACCATGAAAAAACGGCACATGGCCACGGAGAAGAGAGTGAGCGTGACTGAAACTAGCCAGTTCTCGATCGGCTGTTTTCGGTCGGAAAGAAAACGAATTCCGAGCCGCGAGTTGTTTTCTGGGTAGTTGGGCTCTCACGTGTAATGTGCAAATAAAAATATTGGCGAGCCTAAATACCCCGTCAGTTTTATCAAAGAAATTAAAAACAAATTTCATCTCACCAGTTGCAGCTTCTTTTCATCACTTGCAGCCAGGACTTTTTCGTAAGCCAAGAATTCCTCCAAATCCTTCAAAGGAGCAACAACAAGAGGTTCGGTCGGTGCAGGCAGCACACTGTCGAGCATGTTGGCAAGGAGTGCCAGTTGTTCTGATTGCTGTTGTTGTCTCTGCTTGAGTGTATGCAACATCCTCAGCACCTGCGTCATGAAATCTAAAAAGAGTATGGCATACAAATGGCATACAAAAGGCTTGAAACAAGGCCCCAGGGAAGATTGAAGGTCTCACTTCTAAAAAAATAGAAGTATTTATTACCTGTCCATTGTGGGCCCGAAATTGCCCCTGGTGGCATATGAGCAGTAATATCACGCGGCCGCCCTGCGCTGGGAACAGGGCCTGACAGAGAAATGATACACAACTCCATTTAAGATACATAGTGAGCTATAAAAGTATTTAAAACCATGGAAAAACAGCGCTAGAAATACGAGGACTAAGACAAGGGGAAACAAGAGAAGGCGATCCTACCAAAATATACAGTTGAGAGTGCCTCGTTTACCCTCATCTTAGTCCTTGTATTTTCCGGCGGTGTTTCTATTGCTATGAACCAACAGGCGCAAATCACCACTTTACTGTAGTTTTCAAACAGTGGAATTCATACCCCCTAAAGTACGCAGGTGTGCTACAAACTTCTGGCAATGACCACTGATAAAGAAACTTAACGAGCAAGTGTATCCCAACTTTAATGCCAACTTTGGTGGGAAGAAATTTGGGGAAGCACAACGCTAACTCACCCACTTTTTCAAGTGAAAGCTTAGAAGTAAAACATCGACATGATCAGTAGCATGCACTCAGAATGCACTTTAGGTTCCCCATCTTGCCAGTATTAATATAGCTAAGTATGGGAAGAAACATACCATGCTAGCAGATAAAGAACGTTGTCGTCTGTGATCGTCCTTTTCTTTTTATTCTTTCAGTTAATTTTTCTGCATTTAAACTCAGTGTAATGTACACTGCACATAATATGGTGCCTGGTCAAATAAGCAATAGAAAATAAACATGGTCAAATGAACAAGTTGCTACAGAGACGATGTGGTCTGAAAATGCACTTCAATAAAATGCCAGAACATCACAAATATGCTAGCAGAAGGAGAACATATTTTCAGTTACCATGCACATGCTGATTGAGGGCCTCGGGAGACATTGCTGAGCACCTCCCGAGTGAGGATTCTACCTCGTGATGGGAAGGGCGGCTCCCTATTGCAGAGAAGCATGTGAAATTTCAGCACAACGCAGAAAACTCTTATCGTCCGATGGGTTCTAGCTAGAACACTCTCTCTTCAGACAAAGTGACTCGACATCACTGAAGGAACCATATTAGCAGAAAGACAGTAAATAATGAATTACCATGTGCCTGCTGGGTAGAGTGCCTAGGGGAGAGTGAACGCCTCCACGGAAGTTCCTCAAACTCACGAGAAACTGAACGGCTGCCTGAGAAAAAACAGCATGCCTCCAATTCAATTTAACCATGTTACTAGATGACCTGCACATTGCTAACACTCCTTAGGGTGTGGGAGATGTTCACTTGTCCTGCATGACGTACATATTTGAAAGTTTTTTCAAACCTCTATAACTCTGCCACAGATATTCGTTCACATCATTTATATGTGAAACTTGAAAGGTAAGGTGCCTAGTTACCATGGACCCCACTCCTGGACCGCTCCGGTGATTTGGACTGCCTTCCATACGAGGACTTGCGCTCCCGTGAGACAGGAGGGCTGCCTGCATAAAAATAAGTTGACATAATTGCTACAAAAGTAATGCAAGCTGGTAGAGTAAGCATTTTCAAAGGAGAACATGTGTGTTCAATTACCATGCACATGCTGACTGAGAGCCTCAGGAGACATTGCTGAGCACCTCCCGAGTGAGGATTCTACCTCGTGATGGGAAGGGCAGCTCCCTATTGCAGAGAAGCATGTGAAATTTCAGCACAATGCAGAAAACTCTTATGGTCCCATGGGTTCTAGCTAGAATACTCTGCTACTCTCTTCAGACAAAGTGACTCGACATCACTGCAGGAACCATATGAGCAGAAAGACAGTAAATAATGAATTACCATGTGCCTGCTGGGTAGAGTGCCTAGGGGAGAGTGAACGCCTCCACGGAAGTTCCTCAAACTCACGAGAAACTGAACGGCTGCCTGAGAAAAAACAGCATGCCTCCAATTCAATTTAACCATGTTACTAGAAGATCTACACACTGCTAACACTCCTTAGGGTGTGTGGGAGATGTTCAGTTATCCGGCAGGACATTTTATTTTACATATTTGAAATTTTTTCAATCCCCTATAACTCTGCCACAGATATTCATGCACATCATTTATATGTGAAACTTAAAAGGTGCCTAGTTACCATGGGCCCATCGGCTGGACCACTCCGGGGATTTGAGCTGCCTTCCATGCGAGGACTCGCGCTCCCGTGAGACAGGACGGCTGCCTGCATAAAAATAAAAAGTTGACATAATTGATACAAAAGTAATGCAAGCTGGTAGAGTAAGCATTTTCAAACAGCCCCAATAAATACCATTGGATGAATTAACAGAACAATCAGCATATAGTTACAACGCGAGGAAAACATGAAATGCCCACATTCTGCTACAAAGCTCAAAGCGAGCATATTAACTGTCTTCTAGTATATGGCTCAGAGTAAAGGTGTGTTAAAACTTAATTTCAGTGCCCATTTGCAATATTGAAGACAACTCCAAGATACATCAATAGGTCATTTAGCACAAGAACAGTATGCTTCGTTACCGTGCACACCCTGGCTAGACTGCTCGCATGATCTCGAAATCCTCCGAAGTGCCTGACCTTTGTTAGAGATGGGACGGCTCTCTGCAGAAATGATGTGAATAAACAGCATTTGAAAAGCAGTGCTAAGAGGAAAATAAAACTCTACCAAATCCGGATGGAAAATAAAAACATACTCATACAAAACCCCAGTTCAATGCAAAGTAAGACATAAAGAGAAATGTGATTGATGGTTTAATACCTTTCGCCTTCTGACGACCTGCCCCGTGTGACCTCGAATGCACCACAGCTTCATGTCCAGAAAAGATTAGGCGGCTGCCTGATTTTGGAAAAAAAGAATACTATAAGGAAACTTTTATCAGATAGAAGAAGTCTGCGAGACAACAAAGCTACTGCCGAAGCTCATCAGAAATAAACATGGAAGACCATTTTATAAGGAGAAGTTGAGCTTATTGCTTAACACTAAATTAATTAACCAAAAGATGACACATAAAGAAAGAGATAGACACATACAGGTCTTTCATGTACCTACATGTGTTTCTGCTTTCTAGAAATTATTCAACACTACTTTCTGAGAGTGTGACGAGTAGTCCCAGGCGATCATTTTTTACCGATACCAGATGATGTTTGCAACTGATAAGGAAACGATCATGTGGCTCTGATATTAGATGTCAGATATGGTTAAGGAGATGTACAGTACACTTCCTGTCCTGAGATGTATAAAGGATAAATAGCAACTGCCCAAAATATGATGGCAGTTGACAATAAGTCAGTCATCAGAACCAGCTCATATGAACTTCCCACGTGTTATGACCACTTGCAGCAACATAAAAGGCTCCTGAATATACAAAAACACTCCAGCTACATTCCAAATATTAAAAATGTTTTTTAGGGCTATTAAAACCCATTTCTACAGATCAATTTAAACTATTAAAATCAGTGACTGCAAGCTCTTATTGTAAACCTCTGATCTACTTCTGCATGACACGATAGACAGCAAAGTTATGAATATGAGCGCCATGCTCTGTAATGAGTATTGGTAGTGACAGCGCTTGTGCAAAAGGCATGCCTTGCAAAGCAATGAGCCGGTAAATGTAGCACTTGCTGCATCCAGTCAAACACCTGTCCAACCAAGTGTCTGGAACTGCAAAAGCACCTTGTTACACAGATCTCTTGATAGTAAACATCACCCTAGGCAAGATATTAAAACAACTGGGTAGAACCAGATTATCCTCTCTGTTAAACAGGTTATTTCATACTAGAGGCTTTCAACTGTACTCGAAACAGAGATGAATATTGTCGGCAGTTTTGCCTCTCCCAATGAGATAGGAGACTGTTGCCATCACAGACTTCCGTTAAAAATTTATTTTGGCTGTTTTATTTAAGTATGTTTTATTTTTATGAATAAACAGCTATAGCTAGCTTAAAATCTGGAGAGATATGTGTAATTAGTTCCATTAGCATCCCACAAAAAAAAATGAAAGGATTGAATTACTCTAAGAAAGGAAAATGTTCATAAAATAGAACGCAATGTCTTCAAACTACTCACTTTTCTTTGCTTGGTCAGATCTTTCTCCAAGGCAGGGTGGTGTGGGTGGTTTAGGAGGAATGTAGCCTTCTTGGATTTCAACTTCAGAATCGCTAGACACTAGCTTCCTAGTCTTTTTTCTTTTTCCACGCCCTAATTCTACGTCACTACGTAGGTCGGACGCCTCTTCAGCAATGGGAAGTTTCAGTCTTGCCTTCTCGTAACTGTCTGCAATAATCAACTCTTGATGTTATAAATCTCACAACAAGCATTTAGGGAAATAAGGTTATTCTACTTACCATACCATCCAAGAGAAGTGAACGGTAACTCCGTCCAGCCTAGCTCTGGTAGCTTGCCTTCCATGGTCAATGCTTTAAGTTTCTTGCTTGTTGTCTTATTGGGCCAAAAACAAACGGAGCCTTTCACCCAGTTTGCATGGACAACAGCGACAGAGTCATCCTTAAGAAAATGGAACACCCCAAACTTTTTGCCATCTGGTTGAAAAAAGAATGGAAATAACAGTCAACTAACGAGCACCACTTGAACCTATGAGAAAAAGAAATGAGATGGAGGGAAACATTACTGCAGATGAACCAGAGGAAAAATCGCATGTTTCCCTTTGAAAGGAATTCGAACACATTTCTGGACAATGCTCGAGAGTGGCCACGAGCTGGTGCCGGAGAGGTCAGAGGCAAGAACGATGCCGAGCATAGATGAAGCACAGGGGTAAGTATACAGGTCAGCTGTTTCCCTGAACTGCTTGCCAATCACTTGTGCCTGGCCAGACGCTGAGCAAAAAGCAAAGTTTTGAATTCTAATGATGGTTCCATCAGCTAAGATGCAAGTGTTGTCATTCATGCGTGTCCTGAGGCAGAATTTGTGGGGGAGATTGACAGCTTTGTACTGAGGGTTAACACAGTCAGGAGGCAGTGGCCCATTATCATGTGGGAGGAAAAAATGCCTTTCACTGTTGAGATCCTTTGGTGTTGAAACACCTCGGCGCTCCATGACACGGTTGTGCAGCTGCTCTAACGGCTTCTCGGGCTTCCTCTGGAGATCTTTCAGTGATCCCATAAAATTTTCAAAAGGGAATGCACTCCATGATTGCAATGGCCCATGAACTCTCACATCATTGGCCAAGTGGATGAGATTGTGCACATTATGTGATACTCCATCCTTCCCATACAGAAACATGTATGTTTCGACAAAATGGACCAGCAACTTTTCAGCGTAGTCCACGAACTCCCGGCAGTACCTAGGACTGCTGAGAATTGTGATTGCAGAGTGCAGAACCATGAAGTTAAAAAAGTATGGCTCAGGAACCCTTGCGCAAAGCACAACTGGGCCTGTGTACAGCACGAGCAGTCGAAACTCCGTTGCCTTCCAGCGGTCCAAGTCTAGAAGACTTCTGGGCTTTCGAGCAAAGTCTGAGCAGATATGGCACTGAATTTCAAGGTTAGCCAAAGAAATTGCATCTCGTACTGCTGTTCCCAGGCGATACCTGTTGCTTCCCTTAAGCCATAATCTCAGTAGCTTGTGGACGACACCTAAGCACACAAGATGCATAAAGTCCAGAGGAACTTGCATGACCAAATCAATGGGAAGCTTTTTCAGCTCTGTTCCCTTGACATGATGTTCTTCTTGAGCACAATCTCGAAAACTTTTATCTGTTCTGAGCTTTGCATCAAGCTGGGGAAAGCACATCCTGCCGTTGATGAATTCCCCCTCCGTCTCACACTTGGTGCAGCTAAAATAGCCATTGTGTCCTTTGATGCCAAGGACATACGATTTTGCAGGAGCGTCACAGACCAATCCTGCGAGCTCTACTCGTAGATGTTTTCCCTGCAGCACAACACCTTCGCTTAGTACTTGGTTGATATCTAACACAGCAGGCCGAAGGAAAGCCTCTGAACACACTGCTTTGGACTTTCCGTAGTACACACCAATAGGGAAGACATCGCATTTCCCCCAGTTCTTCACCTGGCACAGGATGGGCCAAAACTGGTCACGTGTGCTTTTCGTAAGGGGCAGGCCATCAATGTTAACATTGATGGTAATGATGTCTGGTATGTCACGTGCATGCTTCAGAGTGTCTTCCAACCCTGCTTCCAAGCCGAAGTGGCAGTACTTTCCTGTTCCCATGACCACTACAACTGCCTTCCTAGGTGTTTTAAGAAGCGACCTTGCACTCCCAGGGAGAGAAGCGAAGCAAGAATGCGAGCGCAAAATTTTGAGCAGCTCGTTAAGGGAGCGATGAGACACAGCTGTGTCAATGGCCCAGCCTCTGACTTGCTGCTCAATCGGCCCACGTGCATTGACCACGTAGCCTTGATGCTCGGAAGTGCCTGAACCATCGTGGCGCACAGATGCAGCCACCTGATAATCGGAATGTAGGTCCTCAATTGCGTTCTGTGAACTCGCATACCCATCTAATGAGTGATCTTGCTCTGGCGGAAATCCGCTGGGTATATAATCCTCCCTGGCTTCGGGAACTTCCCGTTCCGCTTCTTGTGCCATATAAATGTTTTGGTCTCCTTCCACGACTACGTCACCAACATCACCCAACAAAATACCGCACAAGTCTACGCGAGCTGCTTTACTAGCGCGTTTATAAAACGTGGCTTTTGGACGCTTATGCATTTTAAAACAGGCGCGTAGTTCACACGTTCAAGGAGTTGCCGCCATCAATTGAAGTTGGACGTATGATAGTCCTAACACAAGCGCTCCTAAAGCGGAAACATTCTATTTGATAGGATTGAAAATAAGCTTCGCACTGCACGGAAATGATTGAACATAAACGATTACCTTCCATTTCCATGTCGCTGCTCCTCTTGATAGCAAACCCGTTGTAGTACCTACAAGGCCTCCCTAAAAAAAACTCCGCGAAACAGCTATAAAAAAAAAAGAGGGAAAAGTTCCGATTGGATTGGATTGGATCGTGGCTTTCGAACCGAATGACTTGTGGTGGCTATCGACAAGGTTGCCAGGATTCCAAGCCCCTCAATTCAGTTTATATAAATACAAATTTCGTAAACACACACACACACACACATATATATATATATATATATATATATTTTTTTTTTTTTTTTAATATTGTATAAATTTTTTTTTTCTTTATATCGTTGCAGGGTCTTGTCGCCCCTTTACTTTCTTTTTCTTTTGAGGAACGGGGAGGAGAGCGTGGGAGGGAGAGGGAAGGATAATTCTCCTCCCCCCTTTCCAAGAGCGGTGCGTCGGCGCAACGTTGGTCGGCGCGTCTCAGCTCGGATGCGCGTGGAGCGAAAACGATCGTGCTGCAGAACCCTGGATTCAGTCGTCCAAGACCAATTTCGATCTCGATGAGCCTGGATGAGCTTCGAACGCGTCGCCAAACTCTGGCAAAATGAGGTCTAAGATGGCTTCTTTTGTGTCAAAGTTAATTTCTATATCAAGATGCCTTTTCAAAGTATACCTACCGGTAAAGCAAATAAAAAGTCAGTCTCATCCCCCAATCGTCCCGTTGAGGTAGATTTCAGGATTGTCCACATTATGTTGTCCCAAATATATCCTAGGGATAACTGCAATGGGATATGGGACGTGAAGACCACATAGGGACTTTTTTGGGACATCCCAGGGATTTTGTGTGTTGTCTGGGTAGTTTTTTAGTTATGCAAGTATGGACTTGTTTATTGGTACCATTGAAAACCAACTTATTTGTCAATCTATGAATTGATACGTTTTTTTTAAGAAAGACACGCAACTTTTGTTTATGTTTACTCTCGGTTATCTTAAATTGTATATTTATGTTGTGTTTCTCTTGTAGCCCAATAATGCTAAAATCCCTACGGAGGTTGGCAGTATTCTGAAATAAAATATTAGAAATAAACCCCCAGCACTGCGGGTCGTGCAAGCCATGTTCAGTTCGCAGCAGGTTCGCTCGCAGGAGGCCGTCAGGGACGCCGTGACCCTGGTCTCTCCAGCCGCCGACGCCCACCTCCTGTCCGTCGAAGTGAGCACGGTCATGCGCAGCCTCTCCCAAGCTGTCTCACCCGCTGGCCGAACTCCCTTCCGGGCGCCCTGGGAACCCACGCCTCTGACCGATCTCCACGCGGGACCCAGGGCCCTCCTGAAGGCGGTCAATCCGTCGGCCACCGGCGTGCTACTCTTGCTGGACCTGGCCAAGATCGACGAACTGGTCGCAGCCGACCCGACCAGGACCATGCTCTACCTGGGCTTCCGAGCCGTCCTCTGGGCCTCGCCCTTTTTGTCCGGAACGCCGGATTCTCTACAACGAGCGTACGCGGCCGCCCTGCAACCGCCTCTGGTGGACCGGACACGGCTGTGTCCGCGGGCCGTGGGCAACGCGGTGCCCCTGTTGTTCTTGCGCGCCCTGTACAACGTCCTAGGACCAATGACGCTGGCTCGGAGTTGGTCCGAGCAACTAGAGGACCATTTCCTGCGCAGCCTGCCCCGGCTTTTGGCCGTGGGCTCGCACGGGCCATCGGCGGACGTGCTGGAGGCTCGGCTGCTCGCCGCCAGGCTCCAGAGCACACCGCTGGCCAGGTTTTTCCCGGCGCGGGTGGTGCGGGACCAGATCTGGAAGCGGCACCACGACTTGCTGCGGGGCCGCGGGGCCGGAGCGCTGTACCCGCTGCTGCGACTAAGGGACGCGTCGGCTGCCGCGGATCGGTGCGTGTGTGTCAAAGGAATTCGATTCTCGACGTTGTAGCGTGCTTGATTGGCAATTTTCATGACGCGTTTATGAACCTACTTTCACGGCTTCGTCTTTAAACCGCCGGGTGCTGTGGAAATCTTAGTCCCTCAAGGAAACTGGCGAGCGAATTTGCCGTGACACCTTCCGTGCCGCTAGGATCCGTCAATTTCGCAGAAGTCGCCATGTTATCAACTTCTGCGGGGGGCCCGCATGTTGGTGGCCCCGCAGTGCATTCGGAGCGGCAGCTTGAAGGGATCACGAAACAATTTCTCCACTCTAGCTCGCAGTGCTCGAATGATCACATATTTCGTTAAGGATCAGAATTCAGCTTTCGCTTACAGGCGCTTGCTTTTTGAAAGCGCTGTGCGTATGGAGCTGTGCTCTTTCCCCTCCTCAAATTACAAGTTTTTACCTCGATCCGGACAACAGAAATGGTAATATCATTGCGACGGATAATCTGCTTAGTCTGACTCGGCTGGGGCAGGACATAAAGGGGCTGAAAGCCTCAGCTATAGAGAAGCATAAAAAACAAAATTTTGTATCTGCGGGTAAAGCGCCGTTCACACATACGCAATCGGGTTAGACCGAGAGTGTTCAAACTGGTTTTTAAGCCTCTTGCGACGTCTTAAAAAGGGATGCTGAACCGAAATTTGAATTTCCCAAAACACGCAGAAAAAGTGTGCAACGGGATGCTACAAACACCAAAACATCACTCATAGAGCGATATCTCGAACGGATGACCGTATTTTTCAAAAAAGGAGACGCATTTGGCAGGGATGTTGACGTCATGCTTCTCCGAGAAGGAGAGGGAACGGCCTCGCGTTTTCTCCGCCTCGAGGCATTGAGGTAGTGAAGCGAAGAGAGGCGGAAACACGGTATATTGACGTCACGCGCCTCGTCGGCCTGGTTCAATCTCGACCTCTTTTTCCCAAAATACGGCCGTCCATTCGAGATATCGCCTTGCAAGTAGTATTGTAGGGATTGTAGCGTCCCGCCTACATCTCCTGCGTTTTTTTTTTTTTAAATCCATATTTCGGTTCACCATCCCTTTAAGGCCCGTTCACACTCTTGCGACTTCTTAAAACTGGGTCCCTTAAAACCTCTTACGAGAGGACACACTGGCGCCATCTATTGGGTAGCAGTGTACACTTGGCAGTCCGGCGTATTTTCTATTTCTCTTCCGCGTTATCCTTTCTTCCTTGGCTCGAAAAACTTTTGTTAACGTTATAAACGAGCCTTTCTTGTAGGTCTTACGCACATTTGACCTCGGAAATCACGCGAAATCTTCGCTCTTGTGAAATGCAGTTCCAGGGTCACCGCATAGATGGCGCCAGCGTGCCAGTGTGTTCTCTCGTTCTAAGAAATTTTAAGGTTTCAACAAGTCTCGGTCTCTCTCGGTCGTACTCGATTGCAATAGTGTGAGTGGGCCTTTATAGGTATTACGCCCATTTGACCTCGTAAATTCCGCAAAACCTTCGCTCTTGTGAAATGAAGTTCCAGGGTCACCGTATAGATGGCGCCAGCGTGCCTGTGTGTTCTGTCGTCCTAAGAAATTTTTAGAGGTTTTAAAGGGGTACTCCGGCGATTTTTTCATGGTCTCTGATGCTTTATGAGTCCCCAAGTTTTGTGTAAAAAAAAAAAGCGCGAAGTTATATAATTTTCCAATATCGCTTTCATCGTGTTGCCAGTAGCCCTACTGGCTACAATGTTGCCAGTAGGGATACTGGCAACATTGAAGTGTGACGACGGAAATGGTACAAAGTGGGCAGTAAGCCATGTTCCCAACTGATTACAAGACGTTTGATGGTGGGAAAAGAATGTTTGGTAAGTGATTCACTGAGAAGCACGCAAAAAACACTCGGCATACTCTGTTTAAGACTCCATGCACGACTTGAAAGTCTGTATCCTGTATGACGTCACACCACTGAAGAGCGCGCGAAAATTTGAATGCTGGTTTCGGCATCATCTTCATTTACGGTTTTCCCAATTGCTTTTTTGAATTTCGAGAATATAAATAGCATACCATGACGACTGAAGTTCGTTAGTCAGAAAATGCAATTTGTTTAGGTAGCTCAAAAAACGGACGGAGTACCACTTCAACAAGTCTCGGTCTCTCTCGGTCGTACTCGGTTGCAAGAGTGTGAACGGGCCTTTAGAACCAGCTCCGCTGCAGCAGATCCGGTCCTAAGGCGTAGCACGAGGCTTAAAAACCGGTCCGGTACCTCGGTTTTATTCGGTTGCATATCTGTGAAGGGCGCTTAAGAGTCATCCCCACCACAAGCTTCCATTTCACGGTTATCGTGCTTCTGTGACAATAAAGCCTTACTGTGGCAAAAAGTAACATGTTTTCACTATTTTTTTTATGTTAATAGACCCCTTTCAAAATACGTTACTTGCACTCTGTTGGCAGCTGTGAAATCCCTGCGCAATGGCGGACTAAAACGTCACGGCACACTGGAAAAAACACACCTACTAAAAAGGTTATGATCGCAGCGACGTGGCACTTTCGACGCTCTTTGATTGGCTCGTCGGCTCGTAGTGTTGGCCGCGCTCCGACGTTCGCTATCTTATGGAATGACTTGCACGTTCCTCGATGCAGTCACTCCGCCATTGTGCAGGGGTTCCGACCCTCTAATAATTGGCAGGTGAGTTTTGAAAGGGGTCTATTATTCTGAACAACTGTAACTAAAGAAGGATCCACGGTTTCACCTGCAATGTCTTGTTATCACCAGTAACTCTTATCGTCGAAGAAACGTTATCACAAAACACTAGGAGCCATTGCACTCTGTGAAGGTGAATTACCAGCGAAGCTGTTTAGCTTACGACACAGACGTGACACGAAATTTTGAACAAAGGTACGAACACATTTCTTTTCTTGATCGGTGGTCATTGTGACGAAATGTACGCACACACATGTCGAGGACTATCGCCGCCCCGAGGAGCCGGTGGAAACTAGACACGCGCGACGGGACCGCCACCCGACGGAAGAAAAGGAAATTAGGCACGCAAGCGCCTGGAACGACGACAAAGAGAGGGCGCAGCGAGCCCGCTCTGAGTTTTTGTTGACGCACACCAAAAATGCACGGAACCCTAGCCATAAACAGCTTCGCTGTAATATTTTGGGCCATGCCGATGAATCTATCACAGGGGATCGGTCATCCACCCCAGAGAGCCGTCCCATTGTCCACGCAGGGACTTTGCTGTGGCCTTGATGCTGAGCGCGTACCTGACAGCGCACATTTTGCACCATTGAATTCTTTTTTTCCTCTCGGGAAGAAGAAGCAACAGTGAGCATGCACCAGCATGATTCAATGACATCACGTGT